TTATTATTATTATTATTATTATTATTATTATTATTATTATTATTATGAATCAGCTGGGAAAATGGACAATAGCTGCAACATCAAGGTTACACTAAACATTAAATGTCCTAACCTAACATAACCCAGTTTATTTATCTCGGCGAATGAAATTTCATGATCATGACACAACACACGTGAATGAAGTAGCAGACCCCTAATCTGGCAGCCAATAACAGAATGGTAATAGATACGTGCGACGTGACACCAATAGCGACAGCACGAGTTATTTAATGATAAGACAGTCACGACTAAATATTGTAGTGAACTCACGGTTTCTCCCGATCAGGTCCTCTTCCCTTGCAGTGTATGGGATCAAGTTCATCCTGCGGGAAAGCATATTTCATGTAGTTATCGTAACCGAAATAAAACATCCGTTTGACGTCTTCCAGACGTTTTAGACGCTCTGACTCTGGGAATGAGCTATATTTGCGGTCGTAAACACCAGATCTATTCTTGAAGAAGTTTAGTCTCCCCGAGGACAGCAGCAGTGTTGACAGGTAAAGCACCAGACCAAAAAACCAACATAAATAACACAACTTTGCCATCGTTATCCGACGTAGCCTCATATCAGCATGCGAGGACTTCCTAGTTCCTTTTCACGTACTATTACTGCGCACTACAAAAACATAACACAGACAACAGCATGGCAAACACTGATTTATTTCGACAAAAGCGTCCAGAATATCAATTTCTGAATCTTCATGAGGTTCAATAATTCAAAATTGCCATTATTTAAAGCTGGTTTAGCAAGTACATTATTTGGCGCATTGGTTTTTCATTTTTATTTGTGTACACAAATATCGGGTGCAAAGGTCAAAATGTCAGAGGTTGGCAAAACTTCATATCCAATGAATGAAATGAACGTGGATTCTAAAGGTCAGCCAGCAAATGTTTGATTTTCTGCGAAGAGAAGAGTCCTCTTCTGGGCAGACAATTATTTGCGAGAGTGAAATGTTTTGCTGTCAAGATTAGATGTAATAATAATAATCTTTATTGTGTGTGTATCCTTATTAGGATTTTGATTAAAATGCAATACACATGCAAAGAGAGAAACAAAAAACAACAAAACTGCCAAAATAAAGTACAAATAAAAAAAATATAATTGTTCATAATATTTGTGTTACTGAAATAATTAGTTTACTAATGCATGTATTATCTAGGGACAGTTGACTTTGTTGTTTTCATTTTTTCTTTGTTTTTGAAACAATTCTCTATGTATTTTGCTTTAGGTGTATACCTCTTCTAATGCCAACTAATTTGGCTACATGAAGAAACCTTGAACTCATTTGTGTATTTATGCACTGAAAGTGATTGTTCACAAATAGTAAGCCTTAATGTAACTATGTTTTTCTGTTTTATAGATACCCCAGAGACATCTAATTAGACTAGTAATTTGCCAGTATGTGCACCAGATGATATGGGATAATGTCTTGTCTGAGCCCATTCTTGTAAGCAATGGGGTGTGACATCTCTATAACTATATGGATGATTTATTCACTGGTTGTGTAAATGGTAACGTTTTAATCACTTGATATATGCAGATGATCTTGTTTTCTTCTCACGTTATAGTGCTGCATTTAGAGTAGATGCCATCTATTATCGTGAGACTATAAAAAATCTGGAAAGGACTAAAAAGAACCATTGCCAGAGAAGGGGCTATATATTAATTATCCATTAGGGCTGTCTGAATAAGGGGTATGCAACAGCAGGTACTAATAGCTAGATATTGGAAGGTGCTATTGGAAATTATGTAAATTTTATTATGAAAATAAATAATAACATAAAGTTCATTTTATTGTAAAATCACTAAAACACTGATTTATCAAAAGTAAACATTATGTTTATTCAACTTTCTGCAAAATTACTCACATAATCTTCTGACAACAAGAAAAAATAAATACATGGTCTCAGATATCATGGATAACTAAAGTGATTGTTTCACACGAAAAATAAGATTCATTCATATAGAATTTGCCAAGACCACATAGGACTGATTGTGAATGCAGTGCATTAAAACCTATATCAACATTGAATTTGACCACAAGAAATACTCGCGCCATCTTGAGTTGCATTTCTGACAGGTAGGATGCATCAATAACCTCTATGTGCACAGACAAAACCACACCAGACAAATGATTAAGGACACATGAAAAATATAACCAAAATATCCACCAGTTGGCCATTTTGAATCAAATCACATTCAAAAATGAGCATCAGTAACCCATCATGAGAGACGTTCATGTCATCAGTAACCCATCATGAGTGACGTTCATGTCATCAGTAACCCATCATGAGTGACGTTCATGTCATCAGTAACCCATCATGAGTGACATTCATGTCATCAGTAACCCATCATGAGTGACGTTCATGTCATCAGTAACCCATCATAAGTGACGTTCATGTCATCAGTAACCCATCATGAGTGACATTCATGTCATTAGTAACCCATCATGAGTGACATTCATGTCATCCGTAACCCATCATGAGTGACGTTCATGTCATCAGTAACCCATCATGAGTGACATTCATGTCATCAGTAACCCATCATGAGTGACGTCCATGTCATCAGTAACC